ATTGTCAGGAAAAGGCCATTCAAAAGTGTTGGGGACTTTCACAAGGAGTGGACTGAGGCTGGAGTCAGTGCATCAAAAGCCACCACACACACACGGATCCTGGACATGGCCTTCAATGTTCTTTCCTATTCCTCTTGTCAAGCCACTCCTGAACAACAAATGTCAGAAGCGCCTTACCTGGGTTAAAGAAAAACAGAACTGCTCTGTTGCTCAGTGGTCCAAAGTCCTCTTTTCTGATGAGAGCAACTTTTGCATCTCATTTGGAAACCAAGGACCCAGAGTCTGGAGGAAGAATGGAGAGGCACACACTGCAAGATGCTTGAAGTCCAGTGTGAAGTTTCCATAGTCTGTGTTGATTTGGGGAACCATGTCATCTGCTGGTGTTGGTCCACTGTGCTTCATTAAGTCTAGGGTCAATGTAGTCGTCTACCAGGAGATTTTGGAGCACTTCATGCTTCCTTCCTCAGACGAGCTTTATGGGGATGCTGACTTCATTTTCCAGCAGGACTTGGCACCTGCCCACACTGCCAAAAGCACCAAAACCTGGTTCAATAACTGTGGGATTACTGTACTTGATTGACCACCAAACTCACCTGACCTGAACCCCATAGAGAATCTATGGGGCATTGCCAAGAGAAAGATGAGAGACATGAGACCGAACAATGCAGAAGAGGTGAAGGCTGCTATTGAAGCATCCTGGTCTTCCATAACACCTCAGCAGTGCCACAGGCTGATAGCTTCCATGCCACACTGCATTGAAGCAGTAATTGCTGCAAAAGGGGCCCAAACCAAGTACTGAGTACATATGCATGCTTATACTTTTCAGAAGTCCGATATTGTTCTATGTACAATCCTTGTTTTATTGATTGCATGTAATATTCTAATTTTCTGAGATTGTGGATTTGGGGTTTTCATGAGCTGTAAGCCATAATCATCACAATTATGACAAATCAACGGTTTGAACTATCTTGCTTTGCATGTAATGAGTCTATCTCATATATTAGTTTCACCTTTTAAGTTGCATTACTGAAATAAATGAACTTTTGCACGGTATTCTAATTTTTCGAGTTTCACCTGTACTTGAGAAAGCTCCGTGCCTTTCAGAAAAATAAGTGCATTTGTTACAGTCACCATCTTTAAGTCTCCATATATCTATAAGTTCAAAATTATCTAACATTTCAAAAAATATTTTCAGTAATTTGCCTTGTGTTGTTTTAATTCCTTTCACAGATATTCTGTGAAAGCCACTCCAATCCCATCTTCCAATAAATACCAATTTTCATATGGCAAGTCTACTGGTTTTCCCATAAATCCCTTAAAAATATAGCTTTGTTTTTTCAGGCATATATTCCTAGTATCAGAATCTTTGTTTCATTAAAATGAATTTCAACCTCCATAGATCTGCCGTAATCTTTAGTCCAAATCAGTTTTGGTTTTAGTTGAGGGTTTATATACAAAAACAATTTTATTTTTTTTAGTCTTCTGTGCTGAAATAGATTCTTATTCCAAATTATTATAAATCAATGTTTGATCCTTTTTTTTCTTACACGTATTTATTATAAGCAAATTTTATCTTTTCAAATAATGAAAAACCTGATTTCTTTTTTTTGTGGAGCATTCATCCCAGTTATGTTCCACATTAGACATTTAAAACCCATATTTATGTTGTAAACTTAGAAAAGTCTATACCTGTAGCACCCAATGTGGGAATTTCTTCCACAGTCTCTTGTTGTATTTGCTGCATAGCTGCTTTCTTTTGATCCCCTTGCATCTCTTCCCATTCCTGTTGCAAGCTTTCAAGGAACTCTCTTCACATTGTGAAGTAAGTTAAATTGAAATCTCTGCTAGTTAAGTTAAAACCAGTCAGTCCAATTTATCCCAATGAAATGGTATCTTTTTCTGTTTTGAGTTTGACAGTCAAGAAGGTGAATTCCTTTCTCTTAGGCAATATTCTGATAGGTATTTCTTTAAGTAAAATTACATCTGATTTAATACAGGCAATCCTCGAGTTACGTATGTAATGGAACCTGCCAATTACATTCACTCGTTGGAGTGAATCACATAAAATGAATGTGATCACTCCCTGCTTTTGTCCACACATTCGCTAATGGAATATGCAGGTCATTAAGTGCACATGAGGTATCTCATGATGGGGAAGGCCGGGGGGGGGGGGCTAGTGATGGAACAGGCCATCTGCTTCAGACCATCCAAGCCCCCCCCCCCAAGCAACTGAGATACCTCATGCTCCCTCCCCTGGGGTCCCCACAATTCCTCCCCTCCCATCTTGCCATGCCGGGTTGCTTACCTTGTGAAGATCTAGCAAGCTGTCTCCTCTCCAGCCTCTCTGCTGCAGTTTCTTTGCCTACTTGCAGTCTCAGTGCAAAAAGTGTTTGCAAGCTGATGAGACTTTGGGGCAGCAAAATCGTATTGCTTCAAGCCTCCTAGCAGCTTGCAAATGCCTTTTGCATTGAGACTGGAATCTTCTGGGGGCTGTGATCTCACGCCCAATTCTTATCTTCTTACCTTTGCATATCCTATACTAATTATGTACACTTTATCCACAGCTGCATCTCATTCCAAAAAATTGGTAAGGATTCAACAATGCATTCCCTAATATCTTCACCAAGTTTCCTCAAAATTGGGAGATTTGTTTCTGTCTTAATTACAGCATCTAAATCTTTTCCAATGTTATTTATTATTTTCCTTATTTTCCAAATTTCCTAGATTTTCCCCCTTAATTTATTTAATCTTTCCACTTTTTTAATTATATAATTTTCAATTTTTTATTCATCTTGAAGCTTTCTTCTATTTCTTCAAGTGTCACCAAATCTCTCTTGACAGATTTAGTGATTGATGCTATAATATTCTTTTGCAATTCTTCTATTTTTAATTTATAATGAAAAAAGGAGAAGTAAAAAGTAAATTGTGACCTTGTTTCCTCCTTTCTTTATATCGTTAACTCTTTGGTTCCGTAGTTCTATAGGCACATAATCTTGCACAACTTACCCTTATTTCTTTGTTTAATAAAGTCAGCCAATCATCTCTTTTAAGGAAATTTAAATAGTGGTTCATTCCCAGGGAGGTATGCCTTATTTATTTAATTAATTCAAATATACTTTATAATAAACAATATTCCCAATTCAACTGCTCTCTTAATCTCTTTTAAACTTTTATACTTCAAATCTTTGGCAGGCTTTTTGCTATTAGTTGCTTTTAAGCCCTTACAATTATTTCTTTAGTTTTTATTTTAATCTTGCTCTGGGCCAAAGGAAAACTCACTAGGTCGTTTAGTTGCTTTACTGCTTCAAAGATCTTTGTAACATTTGCATTTGTAATCCAAAATGAACTAGAAAATGGTGTTTTGGGCAAACCAAGTGTCCTTAATGCATGCTTACACTCTATAAGCTTGATATTTCTTCCTTGGCTTTTGACTCTCTCCTTATGAGATCCTGTGAAAATGCTGAAAAACAATTAAGCCATTTCCAAAAGTGATTAAGAAATGAGGTTTACATCTACATGACACCTTTGAGCTTGGTTGATATCCCTTGATTCATAAGCTGACCACAAAACCTCAGTTACTGAAGTCCAGTCATGAACATCAGCTGTCTGGAGTACATGTGGGTGATCTTAAGATCTGTCCTTTTTCTGGAGAGATTTTGCTGGCCAGAACCTTCTGGCTGCTCATCCTCACTGGAAATCCCAGATGAATGTTTTCAGGAAAAAAATAATAGACATAGATCAACATGTAAAATGAAATTCACAGGTATTTAAGTTGACTCCTTTTAACTCGCTCAGTAATATAGTTTTACTTAAAGTAGCATCTGTGTCACATTCTTGTGATAAACATCCTTTACAAAGTTACATTTCATTACCAGGATAAAGTTTATAAAATGTCAGCAGTCTTTTTTTTTTAGTGGAAAACTCTCTGAAGTTATTTCAAAATTTCATGAAATCACATCTGATGAAAGCTTTGAGAAGGGATAAGCCATCTACCTGAACATATAAGTCCACAACAAAGAGATATTTGGGGGTTTTCCAGTATCTCTTGGATACTGTGATCATGTCCTTCTTCTTCACATACGAGTGAAGAAAGGCTTGCAAACATGTCCTTCTCTTCACATACAAAAACCAGTTAGATTTCTGGAAAAATCTTTATTGATGGTAGGGTAATAGAATTTTGAAACCAATTAATCTGCACAACGTATACCTTGTGTAATTAAGGTAGAGTTATTCTGTGTCTCTTTCTCACAGTGTTCCCCTCCTTACCAAATCTTCTTAACAGCTCTGCTACTCCCTTTAATGTCATGCTACCTGTCTGGGTTCAAAATTCTGTCAAGTCTGTCATGGTCAGAGTCCTCTCCTTTTTCTATATAGCATTTACACAACCTCTTAATCAACCCAGCCACTTCCTTTGGGTACTTCAGGTTCCAATGCTATGACTGAATAGAACCTGAAATACCCGAAGGAAGTGGCTGTGTTGATTAAGAGGTTGTGTAAATGCTATTTGATAGCAGTTTGTTTTAGCTGTATTTATGCAACTATGGAGTGTCTTCCTCAGAAAAGTCTTCCTACTTCCTATTTGGCTGATTTTTATTTATTATTCAATCTGCATAGCCACCTATCCGAAGCTAGTCACTATGATTTTTGAAATTTTTTTCTCATGCCCTGTTTGGTTGACCAGAAGTATTTTAAGATTGTTTATTGGAAATGATTTAATCTCCATAGATGTTTTAAACCATTTGAATCCTTGTTTGTAGTTAATTTTCATTCTTATAAACTGCCTTTGAGGTTGCTCCTGATTTTTTTTGTTCCATTGGAGGTTGCTGAATTTGACTGGTATAAGGTCAACTTTTGCCACAAGGTGATTCGTAAGTTTTTAAAAAATATAGTACTCAAATCCAAACAGATAAGTAAAGTAAGGATTATATGACCTATCCAAATATGTTCTTTTCACCACAATGTTTATGTTGCTAATGGTTTTGATTTCTCTTTCATTTTAGAACACCTTCCAAATTCAATTTTGTGGACAGTGGTCAAAAAACTTGACCTGGTTTAATGGACATCCACCACAAGATGGCGATAATGTCATAGTAGAAAGAGGACATATTTTACTATTGGATACTAACACAAGCATTCTTAATATGCTTCATGTCAAAGGTTTGACTCTTTTTTTTAACCAATCCTTTTTTCAGATGAAGGAATTTCATTGTTAGAGAAACCTGAAGGAGAGTACTAGTACATGTTAAATGTAGGAAGCATTGAGAAAATGATTTCTTGCTAAATTTTACTAAATTATATTTATTTGCTATTCCTATCTGTGTGTATACACTCACAAACTAAAGTAACAAGATTTAACATAGCAAAAATAGCAAAAAGCATCCTGCCTCTATTCAATGCTACTTAAGATACTTTCTTGCTAACATCTTTTTACTCTTACATATAAAGATGTAATATTAGTGCTGTAGTAATAACAATAACTTAACTGTACTAACGTTGTGATAGAACAGCACGGAACTGATTACTGACAACGTTACTGATGCATTGTGGCAACTGCTCTGACTTTTATTATATCAAATTACCAGGGTTTTGAATCCTAAGATAAATACAAGGGAAGTTAAGTACAAGACAAATTCTGATAGTTCCCCTTCCACAGAGCTCCAAAAACTACACTAGGGTTTTGCTGTCCCCTCCTGGTGTAGGAGGAAAGATGAAATGGAGCTTGAAGAAGGGAAGACAACACTTTCTAGTTTGTAAACTTGTGAACTTAGCTAATTTATATTCCAGTTTAAACCAATGTGTTGCCTACAGTGTTGAATCCATAAAATTGAGAGGACCTTGCAGATGATTAAGAGCATTTCTCTGCTATGTGTAGAGAATCCAGTGTAAGATCATTCCAAATTGTTGGCTATGTAGTACTTGCCAACTGCTATTACCTGACTGCTTTGTTTTTACAAGTAACATTTTAATATTCAGTCCCACTCTGCAGTTTTATTAAACTCATTTAACAGCCGCAAATCCCCTTTTCTATACTTCTGTATTTGAAAATTGTCCCTGCATTTCAGGAGTAATAGCTGCCAATGTCTTCTTCGGCACAGATTTACCATTCTGTAGTAACATTATGTGGATAATAATTGCTATATCAGTAAAACATTGAAATACATCAATATACTGGTTGCAGTGGGGCATGTGCCTCCTTCCGTTAAGAATTTCCAAGTATGCCTTGATAAGAATTTTGTATAATGAAGGAAATCTCTAAGTGCTTTGCACTGTTAACTTTAGGAATACATAATGGCTCATGAGAGAGGTAATATCTTTTTTATTGGCTTTCTGAAAGATATGTAAAACACATTTTTCAGATGGCATTATTTGGATGATATAGCCGTGTGAACTCAGGAAAGCTTGCCTTATCAACTCATTAAAAATAGCCTTTTGAACACAGTCAAGTGAAAAAAATGGCCCTAGGAATACAGGAATGGTAATATTCCTGCAACAGTCTTAGTTTCAGGCTAAATAAGTTAAAGAATCCATTTCATAGGCTGTTTTTAATTCCATAATGGAGAGACCCGTATTGTATTCTGAAGCAAATATATTTCACAAAAAAAATATGAAGCTTTCTTTAGAAGCAAAGTTATTCAAGACTGTTTTAAATGAGGATGTTGGACTTTTCAACTAACCTGTTTCTACTTCTTAAAATATAGTTGTAGTACCTCCCACTTGGCAATAGTTATTACCTAAACAAATAACAAAGGGAGCCTGGAGTGGTGATGGGAGAGATACAGGGAAGGAGAGAGGAGACAAAGGAAGATGTACTAGCAATTGGGCCAGAGATATTCAAATGAGCCACAATCTGAGCTAGCTCACAAATTGTCCTATAAAACATTATCATAATGCAGTTCAAAATGAGCCTCGCCACTGGCAGTGTGTCAAGTAGCAGGCTGTGCACCAAATGGGGCATTGCTGAAGTCACAACATCCACCCTTGCCCCATACTGAGAGATTTAACTTTTATAAACAAAAGTGGGGTGTCAAATCCATGAGAATGGAAGCTGTGCTACAGGCAGGCCAACTCTAGCCTAGCAGAAAGGCTGCACAGTGTCTTGCTAGTTCATTTACTTTTATGGAAAACAATGCTGTTCATTGCCTTAGAAGGGTTTCATTTGAGCTTGAAAGAATAATAAAACCTTTTAGCCTACCTTTTTTTTAAAAAGTGACAGATAACACTGCAGCAGATCAAAACAGTGGATAATAATACATAGAGAAATGCATGTAGAAGAAACTGCTATCTTATCATCATTGATGGCTTAACTCATCACGGAGAAACTGTGATAAGTCAGAATTTGGCATGTAATGTGTTTGTGCATGTAAGTTGCTTCCCCCTCTATTATTTTAGAGAGGGATATTTTAATAAATGAAAGTGTAAAATCATTTTTGAAATTAGCTCTTTTGTTTTCATCTGCGGCTAATTTGGAAATAAACTGCTGCTTAGGACAGAACTTTTCCTTCCTCTCTTTAGTTGCCAAACTACGGTATATCAATATTACTATATATAGCTGTATTATATTTATATTTTTCAGGACACCACACAAAAAAAGGTTCCATGAATTATAAAAATGCTCATGTAAACTTTGATCTGAAAAGCAAAATGCTTTCAAGATTGGCTTTTGTTGAGATATTACTACCACTTGTCTTAACCTTATTCGGCACTGTTTTAAATGGTCCTGGCATGCTTCTAAATGCAGAATGTGTGACAGTCACAAAGTGGACCTATGGCTTGTGACTGTGGCTTCCATTTGCTCCATTGCCTTTTTGTCACTTTAAGTCCCCACGCTTCCACTTCAAAATGCGACTAGATCTCGTAGCTCCATTAATCAAAGAAGTGATCAACTGCCATGGTGGTTGGTCTTATTCGACTTTCTGTCTCTCTGAAGGCTGTAGAAAAGTCCCCATAAGTAAAAATAGGTTTCCACAGCAGCTGTTACCATTGCTGCTGCTCCTGCCATCCACAAATGCCTGTATGCAATGGTCATAACCTTCCTTCTACTCTGGCACTTGCTTTCTTTGGCAAACCTAGCCACAATTGATGAAGTGCAGCAAACACAATGCTGCTTCAGTTTGGTTCACGTGGAGCAGTTTTACTCCAAACAAGATGCTCTATTCAAGCTGCTGATTAAATCACCATGACTTGGCACTGGCCCTCTCAGGGAAGAGTCCAAGCAGCTTGCAGGAGAGCACACATGCCACCAGAACAGATGGGCACACATGCAGATGGCCAAGCAGCATCGGCATCAGTTTGGGGAGTTGATTTCTGACTGAGAATGCTCAAGCAGCTGCCTCCATGCAACTCTGAGTGGGAAGAAGGCTTTGATCCAGAAAAGTGCTTTCATACGCTGCTTGACTTTAAGCACACATTGAGTTTCATTAATCCTAATGAGAGAACTCTAACATATTAAAAATGCAGCACCCGTTTAAAAGCTTGATGAATTGGGATCTGGAATTGATACTGTTATTGCATTATGAATGTGTGATTGATTTAAAAAAAACACTTTGACTCATTGTAATGCAAGGCTTTATAGGGACTGCCTTCAACTAGGCTACGATGTTAGACTGGGTGGTGGTATGCTGGTATTTCTAATGAGAGATGTGCAATGCTTTCATAGGTTGGCAGACAAATTTGCTGTCAGCCCCTATCCATCTTTCTTCAGATTTGCGGCTGCCACAAGGGAGGATAGGTATCCATGGGAAGGAGAGCAAAGTGAGAAGGGAGGATATCTCCAACAACATTCTTTCGCCAGAGCTCAAGGCCGAGTCGCTGGAGTTTGGAGGGGAGTGACTGGACTTGGCGGGAGTTCAGAATGGAGGTGGATTGCAGAGGGTGACTTGTGAGTCATCAGAAAGGGGGTTGGATGTGAGTTTAATTTAGCAGGGGAAAATGCAGGAATTCAGATTCGCCAATATGACTTCTCTGATTTATTTATTTATTTATTTATTTATTTATTTATTTGATTTGTCAATTGTTTACAAGATAATAAGTACAAGTGTATACATAGTTGTGAATATATGAAATGGGTACATATAAGAAAAATAAAAGAATAAGAGAAACAATAGGACAGGGACGGTAGGCACGTTGGTGCGCTTATGCACGCCCCCTACAGACCTCTTAGGAAAGGGGTGAGGTCAATAGTAGACAGTCTAAGGTTAAAGTTTTTGGGGTTTGGGGAAGAGACTAAAGAGTCGGGTAGAGTATTCCAGACATTGACCACTCTATTGCTGAAGTCGTATTTCCTGCAATCAAGTTTGGTGCGGTTTACTTTGAGTTTGTATCTGTTGTGTGCTCTTGTGTTGTTATGGTTAAAGCTGAAGTATTCATTGACAGGTAGGACATTGCAATGTATGATTTTATATACCATGCTTAAGTCGGACCGAAGACGGCGTAATTCGAGGTTTTCTAGTTTTAGAATTTCGAGTCTGGTGGCGTAAGGTATTCTATAACGGGTAGAAGAGTGGAGAACTCTTCTTGTGAAATACTTCTGGACTTTCTCAATTGTGTTAATATCACATACGTGATAAGGATTCCAGACTGATGAACTGTATTCGAGTATTGGTCTAGCAAATGTTTTGTATGCTCTGGTTAGTAGTGAGATATTACCAGAGAAAAAGCAACGTAGGATTAGGTTAACAACTCTTAATGCCTTTTTGGCTATGTAGTTGCAGTGAGCTCTAGCACTTAGATCATTAGAGGTGAGTATTCCCAGGTCCTTTACAGAGCTTGGGTCATCAACAAGATCTTGACTATTCAGTTTGTATTTTATTTTCTGATTTTTTTTACCAATATGTAAGACAGAGCATTTATTTGTTGAGATTTGGAGTTGCCATATGTTAGACCATTCAGATACATAGTCTAGATCTTTTTGAAGGGTAGTAGTATTGTCTGTGGTATTGAACAGCTTTACATCATCAGCGAAGAGAACGCAATTGCTCTTGATATGATCACAAAGGTCGTTTATGTAGATTATGAAGAGAGTTGGTCCTAGAACACTGCCTTGGGGAACACCACTATTGACAGGTACTGGATTTGATAGGGCGTTCCCAATTTTGACCATTTGTTGTCTGTTTGACAGGAATGCTTCTCTCCAGTTATTCAGTTGTCCAGAGATACCATAAGATTTTATTTTTAGGAGTAGTTTGTCGTGTACCACTGAATCAAAGGCTTTGCAGAAGTCTATGTAGATTGCGTCTATTGCTTTGCCCTGGTCGAGTTGAGTAGTCCATATGTTTTTGCAGTGTAAGAGTTGCAGATTACAGGATAGTTTTTTTCTGAAACCAAATTGTTTATTGGAGAGTAGGTTGTTTGTCTCTAAATGGAGGATGATGGATTGGTTAATAATTGATTCCATGACTTTACAGGTGACGCAGCATAAGGAGATTGGTCTGTAATTTTCAACTAGGCTTGGGTCTCCCTTTTTGAAGATGGGAATGACTGTGGCTTGTAACCATAGGTTGGGCAAGGAGCTGGTTCTGAAAGATCTTTCAAAGATTATGCTTAGAGGTTTGGCTATGGCAGCGGATAGTTTTCTTAAGAAGTAGGCACATATTCCATCCGGTCCAATAGATAGAGATGGTTTTAGGTTGCGTAGTGCTTTTTCAACGTTGTCTACTGTAAAATTGATATGTATTAGATCATTATTGTTGTCTGTGGTACGGCTAGGAAACATTGGGCATGATCCATTACTGTTTACAAACACTGAGCCGAAGAATGTGTTAAAGATGTTGGCTTTAATGGTGTCGTCGCTGCAGTCTTTACCATCAGGTCCTATCAAGGGAGGGATGGACCTTGAGTCTTTTAGTTTGTTGTTTACAAAATTGTAAAAAGCACGGGTGGAATTGGTGCTTAGAAGGTTTTCCTCTTGTTTAATGTGGTAATTGGTGCATTCGGTCTTTATCTGGTGGCATAAATTTTTATATCGGTTTTTGAAATTAGCAACGTGACCAGATTTGTTTTTCCGCCAGAGTGATCTCTTTTTGGATTGAAGTTTCCTTATTGATATGGGTAATCTGCTTTTTTTTTTTTTATTGGAGTTGTTGTTGGAACATATAGTTTGATGACTCTTTTGACTTCAAGTAAAAATATGTTGTAATGATCTTCAACAGTATTGCATCCAGTGAATAGAGATTGCCAATCGAGGGATGAGAGATCGTTATCTATAAGATCATAATTGCCTTTTTTGAAGTTACAACTAGGGATGACATCGTTGTGGTGATTTTTGCGTGGACGTATGTTGAGGCAAAAGTCAATCATATTGTGATCACTACTGGAAAAGGGTTCTTTGGTTTGTATTCGGTAAATTAAATTCAAACTATTGCAGAAGATGAGATCGAGGCAGTTGTTCAGTCTAGTGTTGTTGGTTACTAGTTGTTCAAGACCTAGATTTGTAATAGCATTGAAGAAGGTTGTGTGTATGATTTCAGTTGTACAATTATTTAGGGTCCAGTCAATATGACGTAGATTGAAATCTCCAAGAAAGATAAAAGGGTATGGGCAGGATGTAGCCCATGTTAGTAGTGTATTTAGCTTGTTTATATGTTCGATGTCATAATCAGGTGCTCTGTAACATAGTAAGAATCGAATTGTGATATTTAAGGATAGTTCACAGATGATGGTTTCAGGAAGGGCAAGCTCCTGGGTAACTTGGATATTTTTTAGATGTAAGGATTTTTTATAGAATATAGCAACACCACCTCCTCGACGATTTTCACGATCTGATCGGTAAACATGATAGTCTCTTACTGTGGTAATGGAGTCGGGGAGAGATGCATTGAGCCATGTTTCACAGACAAATATAATGTCGAAGTTAGCCATATTTAAGAGGATGAGAAATTCAGGTATTTTATTCACGAGGCTTCTTGCATTGAGTAGTTTGCATTTAAGTCCGGCAGCAGTTGGAAAAATGTGCGCTACTCACAAGCTTTGCCAAAGCCCGGGATTCTTACTTGGATGGACTTTGTCTTTGAGTGCCGAATTTGGGATGGAGAGTTTGGTTGGAATGCTGACATTTGCATCATGTTGTCTTTACTTTAAGGTCCTTGGCATTCTCTGAGTTTGTACACATTTCATTACCAAACTAGGAAACATCAGCAGTGCGAGAAGGGAGCTGGAGTTTGCTCTCATTTCATATTCCAATGGCTTGCCCTGTCATTGTTGGTGGGAGTGGTCTTGGTGGTTCCTTTATTGTTTTTACTTTCTCTGAAATTCCCATAACTAGATTTATAAAGTCCTATAAGAGGAATGACACTGAATATTTCACTGGAAGTTCACGTGTCTAAATTATATTGTTAGGCTTCTCTTTCAATTCCTCTCTCTTTGCAATTGTTCCAGACAGTTTATACTCAGATACCATTTCCACGGATATCTGATGGAAGACCTTACTCTTATGATCCATAGCTCTTCTATAAGCATTCTATACAGAAGAAACTTTTCTTGGACTACATTCCCTTAGAGAGAGACTGCCTCATCTCATCTCTTCATCTTGCACTATACAATAGATTTTTAAAAGCAAATTTCTAAAAGTGGGTTTTTTCCTTCTTAGGAAAGAAAGAAAGAGGAAGGAAGGAAGGAAGGAAGGAAGGAAGGAAGGAAGGAAGGAAGGAAGGAAGAAAGAGGGAGAGAGAGAAAGAGAGAGAGAGAGAGAGAGAGAGAGAGAGAGAGAGAGAAAGAAAGAAAGAAAGAAAGAAAGAAAGAAAGAAAGAAAGAAAGAAAGAAAGAAAGAAAGAAAGAAAGAAAGAAAGAAAGAAAGGCAGTCTAATTTGACTAAACTTTCAGTAGAATCAAAAGGGCATTGCAGTTGCCTGCTGATATATTTTGTGTATATTTGGTTATTATAAGCAGCATAAATATGTACTGTGTCAGTGATGCCAAAATGACATGAATGAGAAAACAAAGACTGAATGGAAGAAGGGAGAGCTAGATTTGCTGTCCCATTACCTATGCCTTTCCAGGGATACTATGCATTTCCTGCTAGGGCTTCATTGATGTTGCATGGATTCTAGGCAGCAGAGAATTCATCTTGGTCTATTCCCCTACTATCAAATGATCAAATACTGTTACAATCCAAGGTAAATCTTCTCTGATATTATGCCTAGATTTGATATCTTCTGGGAAGTTCTGGAATGTTTCTTTTAATCTCCTTCCTTCAAAGAAGAAAGATGATGGAAAATTTCTTTCTTCTTATTGTACCAAAGTGATATACTTGAATTTATATTTATATATATTTAGTTTGGTTGGAAGACCATCGTAATTACTGTAAGTAGAGTTCATTTTTATTTTTCAGGATAACCTGACAGTTATTCCTTGCCTTCTTGAGTAGTCATAATAAACAGTAAGAAAGGTTGGAGCCAAATACTTCGGTTAATCAGCATTTATTATTTTCTGCTCATGGGAAACAGAGCAAGTGCTATGAAAAAAAAGAAAGCAGGTTGTGTGTATGTGTGTATTATCCTTGTAGAGTAAAAGCTACATATTTATTATAAATTAATAAAGTGCAGAAAGGGATGAGTTCAGAAGGCTGGCAGTTGAGACACATTATATGTCATTTACTTGTTTAGATAGAAATGCCTGTAAACTCTGAAAAATGTTATAATTAGCTTAACAGACTGGAATGTAATCTTTACCTGTCATAGCAATTCTTTCTATCCTACTTTATGGATATCTTTATCACTCAGGCATTAGCTTTCTCTTTAGTAATGTCTGGCTTTTTCAAAAATGACAGTGAGAAAAAAAGTGCCCACTGGGGAAAAAAGAAATTAGATTTTTAATATCACTTGAAAAGTATATTTATGATTGTACTTTATCACATGCATTGACATTGGCTGTGTCAGCTGTTGTCAGAGGTCTTCCATCCCTAGGTACATGTTAAAAAATGTGTGTTCACAACTATGGCTAGGAAGAAATTTGAAGATCTTTCTACTGAAGTGTGACATAGAGTGAATCTTCCTCTCTGAGAAGAGCTACTTTGAGACACTAATTTAGGGAAACTTTGCTTAATTCTCATTGTGGATCAATTTGCTCAGCATGGTTGTTACATTCTTAAGCAAATAGAAACATTTTTGTGTGCTTGCCAATGATGAGCAAACAATCATTAACTTTCTGAAAGGGAATTAGCATGTTGGTTTCCCAGCATATGGATTGCCACAGCAATTCAGAATCCCAAGAAAATGGAAAACAGAGTTGGAATAGAAACTGAAACAAAGAAAGTTATCTATAGACCATCAGTCATATTAGACTGATAGTGAAAACAACTATAGGAGCAAAATAGACAGGTTTTGAAGCCAAAGAATAGAGGAAAAACAGTACAAATGAATTACTTTTTCAGAGAAGTAAATCACAGAAAGGCATCATTCTGGAATGTTCAGGGAAACCTATAGGAGCTCAAATTTAATGTGGCAAAATTTCCAAGCTTGGATGAATACAATACAGAAGATAATGTCTTAAAGTTTAGAGCAATAAATAAAATTATTTTAAAGGCCAGCCCTTTGATAACCCTATGATGATATGATTTTATATTAGAAGGAGAAAGTAAGCTAAAGTCAGGGGGGGGGGGGACTAGAATCAGAACATTTGGTTATCTTTTTTACTACCATTTTTTCTTCTAAAGTTACATTGAGAAGATGTTCTCCAGTTTTAGGGAACCAACTTTACTTTCTTCACTGAAAATCATAATAATCAAGACTTTACTACTCTGTGAATGATCTTGCATCTTATGACTGTTTACAGTTACTGTTATTGTTGATCACTTTAGGTGGCAAGCTGGTATTTATTGGCCCTGGTCCCCTAGAACTTCACGCTCATTCCATCCTTGTGTCTGATGGAGGAGAACTTCAGGTTGGATCTCCCAGGAAGCCATTCTGTGACGTTGCCCATATCCATCTTCATGGAAGTGCCTATTCTGAAGTGTTTTCCCCATATGGAGCAAAATTTCTGGCTGTGAGAAATGGAACCCTGTCCATGCATGGTGAGTTACTGTATATAGAAAAGTTTTTGCTATGAAATGGACAGTGGTGTATTAACCATTAAGCATGTGCTTAGGGCACCAGGCACCACAAAAACTTTTATGTAGCCTAAGCTTGGCTTCGTATGTACAGTATGTACAAAGGAGGGGGGCACCAACATTTGTCAGTGCTTAGGGCACCAGTGAGCCTTAATCCGCCACTGCAAATGGATATGCATTTGGATAATATTCCTAGTTGTGGTGAATATGGGTCAGGTTTAATGAAAAAATAATGAGATATTTAGAGGTGCTTAGCTTTCACAATTCATACTGCCAAGTTTTAGAGCACAGCAATAAACAAGTGGCCCTCCAGATATTGCTGAAATTCAAGGTCCATCAGTTTAAACTGTCATTGGTTAAGGGAAAAGAAGGATGTTGAGACAGGCTTTCCTCCCGGAAATTTTGTTGCTAAGTTTCAGTGGATAATTGACATAAAACTCTGACATAATATCTGAAATGGGTGTGTCAACCTCCATTTAGGTTTACAATGTCAGTTGTACCTCCCACTTCTCCTCTTGGCCACTCTGGCCATCAACCTATGCTCCATCTGAGCTCTATTGTAACCTCTTGTCAGAAACACATGCAGAATCTTGCTCTTTTCCATCTTTAGTAACTTTGCAGTATGGGTACAGATTTCTTTTTGTAACTCCCTGCTGCTGTTCTGTCTAACCATCCATGAAGTAGATCAGGAACATATTTTGTAGTGGAGTTGAATCAGTGGTGGGATTCAGCCAGTTCTCACCAATTCGGGAGAACCGGTTGTTAACTTTCTGAGCAGTCTGGTGACCTGGTTGTTGGAAGAAATCATTAGGGCAGAGAACCAGTTGTTAAATTATTTGAATCCCACCACTGAGTTGAATCTAATGGTATTAATAAAAATGCTAACATCCCAGTTAATAATGGACATTTGACCTGATGGAACCACTAATAGCAATAATAGCTTGTAAGACAAGAGATAAAACCGGGATCTGACAAGGAATCTGTAGTCACTTTATTTTGCTATAGTTTGCTTTTACTTTTTGAAAGTTCTTCCAGTTCTAGACAACCTATGGACAAATAAAAAAAGTCCACTGAGTATGTCTTTGCGAGATCATTGTTATTTGTGTTAGAGAATCTCCATGAACTGAATGTATGCTTCTGTGTATTTATTTTGGGTATCCAAAAGTTCCACTTCCTTACCAGAAATTCCTTTTCTTTAAATGTAGGAGATAGGGGATGACCCACTTTATTTACCATGGAGCAAACATTTTTAAAATGTATTTAAGATTTATTTAGCCAAGGAGGGAATATTTGCATTCAAATGGCAGAAGATTTGCATTGTTTACTCTGCCAAATAACATCAGACGAAAACACCCTGAATCTGGCACTTCTGAACTTAGGGTTAATTTTTAATAAAATCAGTTTGTTCAACTAAGGCTACATTAGCCAGAGGTGGTATTTGGCAGGTTCTGACCATTTCTGGAGAACCAGTAGCGGAAATTTTGAGTAGTTCGGAGAACCGGCCAATACCACCTCTGACTGGAGATTTTACAGTATCCTTCCCCTGCCACACCCACCAAACCACGCCCACAGAACTGGTAGTAAAAAAAATAATGAATCCCACCACTGACATTAGCTGTTACTTACATATTTCTGTGGTTGTGATGCCTCCTTCTGTTAGTGAATCCACATGGTAAATTCCAGCTGCTGATAGAAATGGAGCAAAATAGGGGCCACAGGAAGCCATATTTAGCAAAATACAAAAATAATGTAATGTAAGTGGGTGCGAATACCTAACAGGTCTTAGGTATATAAAATGTTCTCAAGAATCCAAAAGGTTCTTGTTTCTTCAGTTTGGAAAAGAAACACATGGAGTGAAACTATGGCTGTGGACAGGTTATTGAGAGCCCACCACAATATATTAGTTGAGTTCTCAGCTAAGAAGGAGCTTCCATTCCTCTGTAGTTTTCTACGAGAGAGAGAGAGAGAGAGAGAGAGAGAGAGAGAGAGAGAGAGAGAGAGAGAGAGAGAGAGAGAGAGAGAGAGAGAGAGAGAGAGAGAGAGAGAGAGAGATCTATTAGAAAGTGAATGAGAATATATGAGGAACTACTTTATCCTGATGGGACTAACCTGCCCCCCCCCCCGCCCCCCATTTCAGTGGAAAGGGTCTACTTTGGATCCTGTCAGCCAAAGAATTTCAGATGGCAGGATCCAGGTCAAGAGCCTTTTCTGCTGTGGTCCCTGCCCTCTGGAATGTTTTCCCCTCAGAGGATGAAGTCCATCCCCAAACTCTTGGCCTTCCAGAAGAGACTAAAAACTTGGCTCTTCTGCCTGGCCTGGGCTCCCAATAGGGGCCTGCTACAGTGGGTGCGGCTGGCGGGATAGAGAAGATTTTCACCCTCAGATTGCCCATCATCTTGTTTCTTAACTTTTAATCTTTTTATTCTAATTTTAATTGTGTTTAGCCCTTTTTAACTTTTTGTTATATTGTAAACCACACAGAGTCACTTTATTAGTGAGATGGGTGACAGAGAAGTTTAATACCTTAATAAACAATAAGAGAAATAGGAGGATTACAGAAAGAGAAATGATTGTTTGGCTCTTACCCTGTATACCATGCAGGTACTCGAGAGAACAAAGCTGACTACATCTGTCCTATATATTTTTGTTCACTAGAAAGAATTCTGAATTTTAAATTCCAGGATACACAGAATGTTTTGATGTTAGGTGAGGGCTGCATGCTAATTGGAATAAAAAGGAACTGGCTTCTTCAAAACCTACATGATTTATAATAAGGACTCTTGGCTGGACTTTAGTATTGGGGAATGTATGCTGTGAATTTGACTATTTTTTCTTGTTCTATACCTGATATTTCAAACAGAGAGAATGAACAACTTCTTACTTTCCTATTTTTTTCTTTTACTATGTCTCTATAAAATGCTCAGGTTCAGATCTCTAATCCACTCCCAACAATGAACTGTCTAGCCCTAATTCCAAGCAGCGGGCATAGGAATGGTACAGAAATAAGGTGGGGTTTTTATAATTCTTTCTGACAGCCATTCCCTTGCCATGAATTCATAGCTTTGGCCGGTCTGGAGCAGTGAAAAGGAACAATTCTTTTATGGGGTAGATTTCAGTATTTGATTCTAGTTCTACCTGTGTATGTTTGTGTACACACACACACAACACACACACACACACAATCCTTGGTAGAGAGAACCATTTGTCTCAAATGGACTTATTTCCATAATGAACATAATTTGTTGTGCTTTTGTACTTTAAAATGGAGGTTGCCAACCTTCTGGACCTCAGGGACCACAACATTCATAATTTTTAATTCCACAGACCACTAATATGAATCTAGCATGCTGCTCGCTGAAGCGGCTGGACTCCCACTGACGGGATGGGGTCCTTCAGGCACTTAGCTTGGTTGCCTGTTTCTGCAACCTTAAATACTCAAAGAGTCATTTGGACCCGTTTCCCACAGAAAACAAAAACACCAGGATCTCCTCTCTCTCTCTCTCTCTCTCTCTCTCTCTCTCTCTCTCTCTCTCTCTCTCTCTCTCTCTCTCTCCCTCCCTCCTTCCCCCCTCTTTTCCCCTTCTTCCCTCTTTCTCTCTGTCTCTTTCCCTCCCTCCTCTCTCTTTCTCCCTTTCTCCCTCTTTCTCTTTCTCTCTCTCTTTCTTTTCCTTTCTCCCTCTTTCTCTTTCTCTCTCTCTTTCTTTTCCCCCACTCTCTGTCCCTGGGAGTGGGGGGAAAGGAACCTCTGAATTGGTGCTGAGTGGTGAGAATCTGATGTCCAGAGGCCGATGAGCCACTTGCTGAAGACCAGATGGCTGGCAGGGAGGTGGGGCAACAGGGGTGATATCAGTGGCAGATGGACTGATACATGTGGGAGATCATGGCATTAGAGCCCTTCCTGGGTGTTCCCTGGCCTGCAAGGGGGTGGAGGTGGGGAGAAAGGAACCTCTGAACTGGTGTTACCTCCTGCCTCCACACATCAAGGAGGTTGAGTGGCTGCCAGCAATGCCCTCAGGTGAAGATGTTGTGAAGGGGAGGCTCGATCCCTCCCCTCAGGAGCTTCTCTTCCTCCTCGCCAGAAGCGCTCACACACAAAGCACTCACTACCCCTCTGGCACCCGCCCAGCCTCCTCCTTCCCGCTGGGCATGTGAGTGCTTCTGGCGAGGAGGAAGAGGGGGTCGAGCTTCCCCCTCGCAACATCTTCATCTGAGGGCATTGCTGGCAGCCACTTCCTATGGCTCAGGAGGTCCGCGCTCTTCCCGTTGCTGCTCGGTTTCCTCGAAGCACTGAGTCAGGAGGCAGCAGCCATGACACGGGTTTGCTAGGGAGACTGCAAGATTGCCCCATCTCCCCGCCAGCCACCTGGTCTTCAGCACATGGCTGGTCGGCCTCTGGACATCAGATTCCCACACCCAGCACCAGTTCAGAGGTTCCTTTCCCCCCACCCCCACCCCCTTGTAGGCAAGGGAATACCCTGGAAGGGCTATGATGCTGCGATTTCCCGCATGCTACCCTCCCTCCCTGCACGCATCAGTCCATCCGCTGCTGGTATCACCCCTGTTGCAGACACGGGTGCGCTGTGGCCCACCAAAATTTTCTCACGGACCATCAGTGGGCCGCAGCCCACCGGTTGGCGACCACTGCTTTAAAAAACTTTGTTTTCAGAATAGTTTTATCCATTGGTTGCAATGTCTTCAGCTGTGGCTAGAAAGTGGGAAATCAAAACAGCTGAGGAAGCTGAGGAACAGAAAACAATGAGACATTCTTGGAAATGTTTCTTGGTTTTCAGTACTTTAGCAATGATGCCACAAATCTTGGGCTTGCTGCAGAATTATATGCAGTCTGAGCACAATTCCATTGTGTGTACTGTATACAATTAAATTTCAACAAAAGTATATAATCCATAGTGGAAACACACACACGCCACTCTCGAAATAAGATAGGAAAGAGAACACTTATTTTG